AGTTGTATTTTCTATTTTTCTTAGAGACAGATTTTTTTTTGGAAGAGAAATAAGAATTGAATGTTTTGAATTAGCATTGGATACACGAGTGTGTCTAGATGGTATTTAACAAGATAAATAAATGCAGTTATTTGCTCAAGGGGAAATCTATGTTAGTACTGTATATAGAAATATTATATTAATACAATAAAATAATTTCATATTATTTTATTGTCAATACTACGATTAGAGTTTGGAACCGGATTTCATTTTTTGATTCATATTAAATTTAATTAATAAAAATATGCATTGGATTTTATTTCAAATTTATTTGATAATATTCAATTATGCCTAGATTGTACCTAGCATTATTATATGTACATATATACATATATACTATATATATACTTGGAGATAAAAACTTCTGATCACTTAAGAACAAAAACTATTTTATCATTATGGAATTCTATTGTGTAAAATAGTTTTGTTCTTTATGAGTTTGTGTAGATAATATAAGTATTGCAAATTCAGAATATTGGTTTTATATTTGAATTTAAATCTGATTCGAAGAAAATTGGATTTAAATTCAAAGGTCGAAATTGGTTCCAAACTCTAGCTACGATTTGTTAATACACTTTTTATTATAATTATATAATCGAATACAAGAATAATAATTAAACCTCGAACAAACTAATTATCTAAACTATATAATCTAATTTATTTGATGTCTAAAAGCTCGAATAAACAATCAATTACCTAAAATGTAATAATGTCAATTGATACTTAAAAACTTGAACAAACAACTAATTATTTCGATTATTGTTTCTAATCTTTATTGGGTAATTCATCTATTGTCCTATATCAGTTTTTGCTTCGATTGTAGTATCTTGTGATTCTCTAATTACAAAATTATAATATCAAGTTTAGTTTTGTTTTGATAAATTAATTACTTATGGTTAGTGATTATATGATTTTTAAATATATAAAACAACAAATTTTTTCAAAAAATTATGAAATTGTACAATCAATAAATCGCTTCGATCACTTAACACCTTTTCTTTATCCAATTGCTTTTCTTTATATAATCGTTTTTCTTTATCCAACTGCTTTTTTTTATTTAACCGCTTTTCTTTATCCAATCACTTTTCTTTATCTAAACATATCAAAATTATCAAAACAAAAATATCATATGAAGTACATAACATCTCAAAGTAATGAAATCTGACAAATTTATAATCTGATACCTCAAATTGATCTTGAATTTTGTCCAAATATCTACAAAATTATTACTAATATACTTAATCATTCACGAGAAGAGGAAATCTTTAATAATATTTGTGAAATGCCAGAATTACAAAAGAAAAATGCATTAAATCTAATTGAATCAATATGAAATCCAAAAGAAAAGCATAAAAATAAAATTATTTCGGTCTATCTTCAAAATAAAGTCCTTGATTATATTACAGATAGTCGTAAAAATTCAGTTGTTTTAAAAGCTGAGAATGCAAACCTAAAATCAGAAAACTAAAAACTATTAAGGAATAATCAAAATCTATTATATAAAATTCAGTCTGTAAGTAGTTCAAATCGGCATCTCAGAAATAAAGTAGAAAAACGAATTTCAACTATCAGGTTATTAATATGCAAACGAAAACAAATACCTAATGAAGAATTCAAATGCCAAATTAGCATATTATTTAAAACAAATAATCGAGAATATTCATCAAAAATGGTTTGGCTTTTAACAAAGATATCGCAAATTGGCCAAACTTCTTTAACCATAACTATTGAATCATTGCAACTAGTCTATGAATTCTTAATCGGAAAACTTCCACAAAAATGGTTATCTGCAACAACCCTAAGTACTTGGTATAAAAAAATCTCACAAATTGAGATTGAAACTGGAATATATAAGGCTTTACAATATTCATGATATGGAATTCTTGTGGATAAATCAACTTGTGAAGAAAGTAAATATTTCGTTATATGTATAATGTTCTGGGATCATAAAAAAAACATTCCATCAGTAATTGTGATCAATCTTGAGGATTTACATAACTGTACTGGTCAATCAGTAGTAGATAGCACTCTCAAAGCAATTACAATTCACAGGCTTGATCCAAAAAAATGTTCAACGTGGATAACAGATAATATAGCCTATATATCGGGCAATAAGAAAGGTGCAATCGTTCAGTTTAATAAGAAGGCAAATGTAGATACAATAAGAATTGGTTGTGGAATGCATATAATGCATATTGTTTTTTCAAATTTCGAAGAAATGTTTGGCAAGTTATCTTCTTCGATTGGATTCTTATGAACACCACAACCATATAATCTCCTATATTTGACTTGGTACCTTCACGATGGATATAATTTAAGCAATAAAAGAAAATCTCTCAATATAAAGTCAGATTGGATTCAAAATCTATATGACGAATTATTAGAATATCATTTCTCCTGATATCAATTGCCAATTCAGAATCGTTGAGGATATGAATTACTTGCTGCAAAACAATATTTAGTCTGTCATGAAGTACACATAGAATTTGCCAATTGGTTTATTAAGGAACTTGAAAATAATCAGAATATATCACTGCCTATCTTTTAGATTGATAAAATTTTTTAATTACTATTCATAAACTTTTATATGCTTATTTTAAATATATCTATTAATAAGTTTTTTATACTTATTAATTAGATGTTTATTTCGGAATTGGCTCTTAAACAAAAAACTAAATATTCAAGTTCAGTGTTTAGTTATATTTGGTAAGTACTTATATGAGCCTTTGATACAATTTATGATCAGAAGGAATCCCATATCTTGTATTCAAGAAAAAAACCATCTGGCTCAACTTCCACCTGGCCGACATGCTCATGAAATGCCAAATAAAATAAATGAGTGGTTAAAGTTTTTAAATAAATTCAGAAAAAATTTTGATACATTCTTTGGACAAGAACCACTAACAGCATTTGAATTACTAAATAATGAAGACTTTAGTGAATTCTTTGACAATTTGAAACAGGGAATGAACAAAGCATATAAAAGTTTTTTAAAATGGATGTTCCTGTGGATCCATTTACCATTATCAATCTGTAGTTTAGATGGAAATTCAGGCCATAAATTTGCTCGAGCATTCTATTACATTGCTTTTCAACAGTGGATTGTAAAACTAATAGAGTGTGAAATAAACTTAACACATCAATTACATATCAATTTTGAAATAACTAATAATACTTTTGGTCTCTGGGAAGAATTATTAGATTCTTTAGAGTTTAGAAATGAGTTTCAAAACTTTTGTCTTACTCCAACCTCTAAAATTTATGAATATCAGTTATTATATAAATTTGTTAAAGAATGAATTTACTTTATCATAATCCACCAACAGCAGATTGAAGGGCTCTTTAATAAATTAGATTTAAAGATCCACTCAAATATAATACAAGACCTAAAGCAATCGAAATTATGACTTTCGTCTAAAGATATTGATAAAGAAAATATTGCTTTAAGACTTTCAAAAATTTGTACAAACCATAAAAAGCAATCAGTGGAATTAGTTTAAAATGATGTGAAAATGTATGGGAAAAAAGAAGCAACAAAATATTTTTAAATTTATATAAAATTTAAAGTCTGTTATAATCGTAATATTATAATAAAAAGTTTTACAAAATAAACTTTAAGTTGAAAATTTTATATGTATTACTATTTGTAAATTATTATTTAAAATCGATTTACTTAAAAAAAAATCTAATAGTAATTTTTATATAAGACTATACATATATTTGATCTACATAGTACATTGGACCCCAACGTTGCATACTATCTATTAATTTAGTGACAAGTTTGAATAAAAGATGGTTTCATTCTATCGATAAACACACTAATAATCCTCTAACTGATCGAATTTTTTTTTTTATGATATTCAATTTCATTATTTGCCATACGTTCTCTATAGGGTTTTGATTGGATGACATTAATAGTCATGGAAGTATACTAATACCTTCTTTTGCCTTTCAATTTTGCGCGATTTTCGAATAGTGCTTTGGATCATTATCTTCTTATAAGAATCAGTCTAGGTTTCCCATGCCAAAAAATTCAGAGGAGGAAGGTAGAAGACCCTGCTCATAGACCTTATATATAAATTTGCCATTAAGGTTTCATTAGAAACACACCAGCTTATCAAACCCCAAAGCCAAAAAACACCCCCACATATGGACCTTCACTAAATGCTTGACAGTACAACATATTTTTTTCCTCTTGCCGAACTGCTACATCTTCTTTTTTGATGAAAATATTTGAAAGGTACTCTTATCTGTGAAAATAATTTGATTTTAGTCAAAATTTTGATGTAACTTTGCCCATTCAAGTCATTTTTTTTAATGGTTCTTCGAAAAAAGAGGTTTCAAAATTTCATTAGTATATTTGCCTCCAAATTCATGAAAACGATATCTAATAGTTCTTGCACTGATGTCAATACCCTTTTTTTCCATAATTCTTTGTATTTTGATACTTGTTATATTGTATTCTGTCTTTGCCATCTTTATAATTCATTTATCTTGCTTCACTATTGTGCTTCGCTGCTGACCAGACTTTGAACTTTGTTTCTTCAGTTAGATCTTTTGAAATCTGCCATCTTTGTACCCAGTAAATAACCATGGACTTACTATACCTGATATAAATTGTTATTTTTGAGAAGCTCAAGTTCTCTACCTTCAAATGTTTATATAAAAATATGATCTTGTAATGCTTATAAAATGAAAGGGTTATAATTTAGGAGGGAAATTCATTTATTATCTATTACTGGTCTAAAGGTTACACAAATCTACAAATACGTGAAAGATTAGGGTTAGTGTTATCATTGAATCTTTAAAATTTTTGAAAGATATTTTACTAAACTTTGAATGATATACTAGGTCAGCTATTTATGACTGGCGCTATAGATATTGTATTGATTAATGCTTTTACTAGGATTTTTCCCTCTACGAGTAATTCTATAAAAACCATGTCAAATATTATTTAATAATATATTTTATAACCGAAAAAATAATTTAGTAAATTCTCCACTACTAAATATAATTATTTAAGGGTGATTTGCACTCCCGTATAATATAATTCAGGATAAATGATTAGGAATAATCATACCAGTCTCTCTGATATAATTATTGAATATGAAAAATAAAATCGATATTATGTGTTTCGATATTAGTTTTACTATCATCTTATATCATGTCACTTATAATTAGAAGAGATATATTTACTGCTTCAGAATCACTAAATTCAGACTCTGTCTCAGAATCACTGGATTCAAACTCTATCTTAGAATATTCTGAATTGTAATATTCACTTAGGTCGATTAAATTATAATTTATGTTTTGATTGGAAAATTTGGTTATTATAGTTTCGTCATCTAAATCCATTGTAATAAATTTAGGGAATAATAACTCGTAGAATGTATGCAATGAAAAAGGTAATTCCCAAATACTATTTCTTGTATGATATCAACTTTTTTTTAATTCTTGTTCTTTAATCTCTTTAGGTCTATTAATGTATAATGGTTTGTTTTGATATCTGTCAATTGCAAGCTGATATAATTATTGATTGCAGAAATAATATCTGCTCTATCTGATAATGAAGCTTATTTTGCATTTTAATAGGGATACATTTTGTGCCATTTTTCCTGAAATAAGTTCCATTGCAATGCAATAATATCGATCTTTGGCTTGTTTCATAAATAATTCACCTGGTCAATAGAATCATTTAATTATTGCGTGCTGAATTATTTTAGTCAAATATATTTGTTTTTTCTATAAATAATATATGTATCTTATGGATAATTAATGATGCACAGTATTTTTTATATAATGCTAGTTGAACTTTAAAATTCCTATATTCAGGGTCATTACCTATTTGCTTATGGCTGGTTAAATTATTCCAGTAATCTCTATTATTTATTTCATATCCTAATTTTAATAAACGCTTATATATATATTTTGGTGAATAATATTTTGCAAACCATAACCATACTTCTGATGTTTTAATATTGTTAACAATATAATTTTCACCATATTCACTTAACCTATCTCATAAATCCAAAGGTGAATTGGAGATTCGATGCTTTGCATCATCATTGCTTTGCAATACTTTGTTATAACTCATTATATATTTGTTACTTGTTAATTTTGCAAGATAAAATTCTTGTCATGATGTTTTATTATAACAATATCAATATATTTAATTCTGTGTTTTTTTTATTGCATATTTATAAAATAACTTAACTATTACAATAACTGAAGCTAATAATCTTGAGATAATACAAAGTGTCTATAAAAAAATTGAAGAAATGTTAAAGCAACAGAATATAATTGATTCTGATTCAAAATATTCAATTATCACTTATGAAATTGCGAAAAAATTAGGTTTTGAAAAAGATAAAAATTTTCCAATATTACTAATAAAGTGATATCTGACATTGTTAAGCAAGTATTGGATAAAAAAATCTGGATCTCTCTTTACCGATTACTGGAGATAGTGAAACCTGAGATTCAAAAGGATATTATAAATTTGATAATAAAACCTGATATATTTTGAAGAAATCATACACCATGCAAAACTAAAGAAAAAAGAATATTTTAAATAATATCATATCTGAATCCTTATCCTTATCTTCATCTTCATCTGAATTTAATTATGAATGGTCTAATAATGAAAATTTTATTATAAATATGGTGAAAGCAAAGAATAGTGATTAGTCTTTATCATAGATTCAAAATAGTTTTGCTTGCTCTGGAGATTGATTTTTTCTGCGATAATTCATTACAATATAATTCTGTACTGGAGAAGTATGATTGTCAGGATTGTGACATAGATATTCTCTAGCAATAGTATAAGCATAGGCCATATTCTTAGCCTTATATACTACTATACTATAAATAGTA